GTAAGTGGTCACACCCATTCTAATTTCACGAAATAGATATTATTAGCACGACCATTTTATACGCACTTCTAAACTCATTTAATCAACATCCATCGAATCATTCTAATTTCATTCCTTTCGAATATCTTGAACAACGATATTAAATAACAAAAAGGAAAAGATAAATGTTGTTTTATATTTCATAGAATAGAAAAAAAAAAAAAAAAGCATTTAATTCTTTAATAGATAAGATAAAGCGAGAACACACCTTTGTAATCTCTTTAATTAAGGATAGTAAAGAATAAAATATTTCGACGAATTGAAATGATGTCAGCGACCAAAAAAAAAAAAAAAGACAAAAGAAAGAAAGACAAACAAAAAAAGAAACAAACGTATATCTGTCGGAAGAGAAAGAAAAAGCAAAGGGAGGGGTTGAGGAGGTTGGAGAGGAGAGAAGAGGAGTGAAGAGGAGAGAAGAGGAGAGGAGAGGAGAGGAGAGGAGAGGAGGGAGGGAGGGGAAAGAAAAATGAAAAATAGTACTCGCATCTCTGGGCAGATTTTTACTTCGGTTAGATGTGTTTCCAAGCTGTGCTAAGTAATGCATATAGCTGGAAAAAGTATCACAAGATGCTCTTTCGAGAGTTTCCAAAAGAGTAAAAGAGAGAGAGAGAGAGAGAGAGAGAAAGAGAGAGAGAGAGAGAGAGAGAGTGAGGTAAGAAAGACCGGTGACACTCAACGGATTAAAGTGAAACGTAAATCAAATTGTACAGAAAGCTAGAATGCAAAGGCCGCGAACGTCTAAGCTCCGATACTCACATTGAGCTTTCGAAAATATTCGTGCTTTTCTTCTCCTTCTATTTGTATATATATAGACATATATATATATGTCTGTATGTGTGTGTGTGTGTGTGTGTGTGTGTGTGTGTATATAAAGTATGACATACATTTTTCCGTGCAAGAATAATGATATAAAAAGCTCGAAGAAAAAGAAAACTGCGAAATGAAAACCGAAGCTTCCACTCTCACTTTGTTTTCTCTATATATCTTGGTTTTTTTTTTCGTTCTATTTTTGTTCCGATAAATTCTGAAAAAGAAACGATAATATTTCTAATCTTTCGAAACTCGCCGAGTTCATTTATCTTTTTTTTTTTTCTTTTTTTTTTTCTTTTCTTTTTTTTTGTATTAGTTCCATATCAACGATCTGTGTAACTTCTTCCGATGAACTTGAAGAAAGTTTTACTTTATATCGCCAACTTTACTTTTACCAATTCTCTCTCTCTCTCTCTCTCTCTCTCTATATATATATATATATATATATATATATATATATACATATATATATGTGTGTGTGTGTGTATCTATAAGTGTACGATGTTCGAGCATAACTTTAATCAGATTTTAGAAAATAGTTAAAATTATTTCATTCTTTTTATCTATATATTAATTGATATATGTACCTGTTATGTTGAATATTGGTAAAAACTTTTGTAAAAAAAAAAAAGTAGAATAACCCGTTAGATCGGCTTTCTTTACAATCGAATAAAAGATTCAGAATCGAGATGAAAGTTAACATAATGTATATCTATTTGAGTCGTCTTAACAATGCGATGCAGTACGAGCGCCAAGAATAATCTATTACTTGGCACGATCTGAGAATATTATTCTTTCGATTCGTATCATGACCGATAAAATGTTAAAATTTGTCCTGCCATATCGATCAATAAAAGAAATAGGAAGGAATATGAAAACTAGGTAAAGAAGGAAAAATGATATCATCTCTCTTTTTATTATTCGTCATTTTCTTATTTATTTATAATGATAAAAGAGAAGAGGAATTATTTGTATTGTAAAATAATTAAAATTCTCGGATAGTTGTCAAGGGAAAACAAAACGTTGATGTGAAAAAGCCACAGTTCAATTCAAACAAATCGATGGAATTGAAATTTCCTCGTATATATCAACGCTACATAAATATACGTGAACGTGTCCGTGAACCAACGGTTAAACAATGAAATGTTAAAGCAAAACGCTTGAAAAACGTCAAAAGTATGGGCTGGTAACACCGGGTGTACTCGAGTGCGAGAGAGCGACCCGTAACTGTACCGTTTAATTGTTATGCATGTACATCTGTCTACGTGACGTATAGCTGCATTTACAAAGTGCAATTCGCAACAGTTCATTATGTCGGTGGAGAGTCTCAGCGGTCCATAGGATAGTCGAGGTCGTCGTCCGTTTGAGGCCACGGGAACGAGAGAAAAATCGATAGAGCCAAAATAATTTAGCAAGAATTAGTCAGATTTTAATAAATTTAACCTTTTTGAATTTATACTTTATATTTTTTAAAATCACATTCATTAATAATATTGATTTTTTTCCTCTTAGAAAAACTAACTTATCTAAATGTTATGATCTAATCAGTAAGTGAATTATTAATATATATCTAAGTGATTACTTTTTTACGTTATTATTTTTCGATTTTCATATATAAATGTAATTATTTTCATATATATAAATATCGATATTTAATTGGTAGCTAACTTCGTATCAACTTGCTGTATTAAGAAGATTACGATGTCGCTGTAGAAACTATTTAAATGATAATAAAATAAAATTAAAAAAAAAAATGCATTTGAAATAAATTTTATACATATACATATATATATATATTTTTATATAAAATAAATACTTTTATAGAAGTATGTTATTAGGATAGAAAAAGTTTTCAGGATCCTTCGATTCTGATTAATTAAACAATTAGTTAGACGCCTTTAGATACGTGAAAAAAAAAACTAGATAGTTTTAATTACTTTTCAGCATTGTGAGAAAACGAGAAGAAAGTATTACCGTAGTAATTAGGAACGGTGAATATATTAACGTCCTGAACGCTTTTCTTGGTACATGAAACTGTACGTATGTACTAACGATTAAACGTAATTGAAAATGGAATAATGGAAACCTTTAGAGTAATCGGGAACTCGTCGCCTCAGGTTACGTTCGTGACACAACGAAGGGAGAATGCCTCGTCAAAGGCTATAAAGAATTTTAAAAGAAGAGAAGAAAAAGCTTCTCTTCTATGCATAAGATAAAGAGAAAGAAAGAAAAAAAAGAAAAAAATAAAGAGAGAGAGAGAGAGAGAGAGAGAGAGAGAGAGAGAAAGAGTATCTATCGGTTTGCGTTTTTCAAAGCGCCGAACTCGATTCTCGATTCGATCGATATTCTCGTCTCGATTCTGTCAGAACATTTTGCATTAAAGTTTACTATGTAAACTTCAGATACGTGTCGAATGGATAACGACGACTCCGAGATATGAATTATGATATCTTCGCTCGTTACACTATCAATAAGGATTTAATCCTTTTCTCATACATATATTTTTATGAAAGGTAATTAAAACTATCATCGAATTCTTTCGTATAATTTCTTTCGATTAAACTTATTGTTTATTTTGATTAACATTTTTATCGATTAAAATGATTGATAAAATGTTAAAAAGGAGAAAAAAAACATTGAATTGCGAACGAATAATTTCGTAACGATGGTGTAATGTAGCTAACCGAGTGTATTTGCCAAATGAAATGAATGCCATCGTTAACGGGAAAATAATCAAAGCGAAACTTTCGTGCATTTCGGTACATTATGATTTTCACAAATGAATCCACTATCAGCTTTACGCACAAAACTTCATTCTTATCGTTTATATTAACGTACAAATGTTACAATGAGTTCAAAAAAATTTAATCGCATGAAATTTTCCACAAACGATATTCTGTTTTTACTCGCAGATGATAATTGTATGCTCTTTGAAATGGAGTAATCATTCTTTTTTCTTTTTTTTTTTTTTTTTTTTTAACTGAACAATCGATTCAATTTTTCAGAATTATTTAATTTTTTAATCAATTTGCAGCATTTAAAAAATTGAAATTCTTTAGAACCATTCATTGCAACAATTTCAAAAAAGCGTCCGATCATTTTTGCGAATTAAAACTTTTGCAGAATTTTAGATGATCGAACGCATAAATTGCACGATATTTTCTTATTTTATTTTCTTTGAAGACAAGAAAAACATTCGTGATCGCTAAACTTCTCGTTGAAATAAAAAGCAACGCGATGAGACAAAGCAAAGCGGCTATCGTAAATTCCATAAAGAGCGCTTTAGCAGAGTCGTTAGAAAACCACATTACACGGTTTAGTACGTCCGACATATCCAGCGCTATCTCGAAAATATTATAACATAGAGCCAATGTAAAAAAATGTAGTTTCTGTTGTCGTCGTGTGACGTTGTCTCGTCCCAAGATGATAAAAATGAAAGAAACAAATGTCACATTGTTTGTAAAATAAAGAGATGATGAGAAGAGGAAGTAGAAGGAAAAAGAAAAAAAGAAGAGGAAGAAGAAGGAAAAGGAAAGAAGAAAAAAACGACAGATCCTTTTCTTTTGAAAGAAATAAGATTCTCTCAAGATGTGTCTTTGTGTCGATGTTGCGAGAGAAAAGATGCTTGGTACTTTTTAACAACTTCTTACGAAGAAACGCAAGAGTTTTCTTTTCCCATGAATACAGAAAATTATGTGGCAGAACGATGTTTGTTACGTGCAGCAAGAAAAAAGAGGACCTGACACGCATTCTCCAGCACAGCTACATTATACTCGCTTTTATCTGTCTTCGTCCTAAACCTAAATGAAATTTTTAATTTTGCAAAACAGGAACGACTATAAAAGAATACGAATACAGACTCAGCTAGACTTTTCTTCATTTAGCTTGTGAATTCCAACGAAAGAAGAGTGGATATAAAGTGCGAGGAGGAACAAGCTTATACGCGAAATGACATTTGAAAGATAAAACGCGTAACTCTTCATATAAAAGGAAAAATATGTAACTTATCTCCATCGAGATTTAAATTTCAACAAGAAAATTGAGATATACGATATATAATAAATATACTCAATATTTCGTTCTAAAAGATATGCTATCTTATATGTATATAATATATATATATATATATATATATATATATATATATATAT